GTTTTTAATGGTTGCCTATTTCAAAGTATCTGTAGCATATCCTTAGGGCCTCTACCCCCAGCCTCAAAAACCATGACCTCGCTTTTCTTAACATTGTACACCAGGCCATGTCTTTCGTCGTACTTCTCATATATGCGAACTAGCCTTCGCAGACCACATGGCGACGCGCTTAGCAGCGCCATGTCGTCTGCGTAGCTGACATTATTTAGACAAATGTCTTCGACATGACATCCGACTTTTGCGCCCCTAAGCTCACCGATCAGCTCGTTAACGTACAGGTTTGAAGGCGTTTGTGAGGTCAAGCCCCCTTGCCTCACCCCGCATTCCAACCCATACGGATTAGAATTCATATTTAGTATTTTTGTGTTTATTATTGGAGTTGGTAATTCACATTTTTCCAACTTCTTCCTGGTACGAAACCAAGTAAATGCCTTGGAAAGGTCGAGGAAACAGCAATATACTGAAGCATTCCGCTTTGCATAATAATTGACAGTGATAAGCATGGACAAAAACGTAAATTGATTATAGTGGAGATTAATGTATTTTTTCAACTGCGTAGTAAGCAAGCGATACTTGTAGGAGACCTAAATATACTTATTAATAATAGAATTGTGCAAAACTTAAATGACATTTTACGAAATTATAATTTGACTTCTCTGATAAAGGAACCGGCTAGACTAATACTTGTATTGACCATGTAATATGAAACAAGCTAAAGGTGAAGTTCTGAAACTGGGTCTCTCTGATCACGATGCACAACTTTTAAGCATCCCTATGGCAAAAGATATTTCGCAACCTACTAAAATAACGATAACCAGGCGTGATTACTCAAAAGAAAATGTTAGAAATTTTTGTGAATGTCTTTAAAGATTGAGTTTTAAGGATGCGTTTTCCAATACTAACCTAAATGTAGCGTTCGATTTCTTTTATGACGACTTTTGCCTTTTTTATAATTTATGTTTTCCTGCATTTCAAAAACGGCTTATCACAAAGAAACGAAATTAAAATTGGATAAGAAGAGGCTAAGAAGTAGCCTAAAAACAAAGAGATCCTTGCGTATTAGATTCTACACTCAGAAAACAAAAGAGTATAAAAGTAAATTTCATTAATACTCAAAAATCTTACGAAAATGTATCAATAAATCACAAAAGATTTACAATGAAAACATTTTACAGAACTCCACAAATATATGTAGAACTGCATGGAAAATTATCAACGACGATGTCGGCAACATCTTAACACAAGATATAATATGAGAAATTAGAGTGGATGGTAAACTAATTCAACAGCCAATAGATATAGCAAATTGATTCAATGAACATCTTATAGCATCAACCACTAGAAACGTAAAAAAGACTCACAACAAATAAAACTAGAGCCCTGAGTAGTATATTCTTAGAAGCTGTGGATTTTACAGAGGTAAAGAACATAATAATGTCCTTAAACAATACCAATTCCGTAGGAATTGACGAGGTGACAACCTATATACTCAAACAGTAACAAAATAGTACCATTACACATTTAATTAACCTTTTCTTTTGAAACAGGTGTATTTCCTGAAAGTTTAAAAAAATCCATAGTGAAACCATTATACAAAAAAGGCGACAAACTTGAACTCAGTAATTATAGACCCATTACGTTAATACCGATATTGTCAAAAGTATTTGAGATAGCGATGCAGAAAAGGATGACTACGTACCTAAATAGGTTTAACTTTATAAAAGAAGAACAAAATGGGTTCCAGAGAGCCAAATCAACTACACAAGCAGCTTTTCAATTAATCTACAAGGTCCTGAAAAACGTCGACACTAAAAAACCTACAATAGTAATATTCTTTGACATGACAAAAGCCTCTGACCATGTTTCGCATCAGCTGCTACTTGAAAAACTTGAGAATTACAGAATTCGAGGCCCAGCTCATGAAGGATTAAATGCTACCTGAAGAATCGCGAACAATGTGTGGATATAATTAAAAATGATAATTCAGTGATCACTAGGGAGCGGTCCACACTTTTATTTAACTAAAAAATATGGGGTTCCTTAAGGAAGTATATTGGGACCATTACTATTCTTAGTCTATATTAATGACTTACCAGACATTACTACTCATAAATTTATATTATTTGCTGACGAAATTTCCATTATATTGACATCCAAAATTGGTACAAATTATGACATTGATATTAATAATACAACAAAGTCCGTAATAGAATGGCTAAATAATAATAACTTAAATGCTAATCTTTCCAAAACCAATTTCATACAATTCCAAACACAAAGCTCAAAACTAAATCGTAGAGAAATAAGATATGGCGATACTGTTATAGAGGAAACGGTATGCGTTAGGTTTCTAGGATTATCATTAGATAAATATTGCAACTGGAAGACACACGTCGATTCAGTCTGCAAAAGGGTTAATAGATTTGTCTATGTGCTTAACCGACTAAGAAGAATCGCTACTCAACAGACAGTACTTCTTGCCTATCATGGCCACGTAGGTTCTGTGTTGAGATACGGTCTATTGTTGTGGGGAAACTCAGTAGATGCTACTCGGGCGTTTTTATCCCAGAAGAGATGTGTTCGGTCTATGCTGCCTTATGAATCTTGCAAACTTTATTTTAGAAAATATGAAATATTACCGTTGCCCTGTTTGTACATCTTTGAAGTAAGTGTATTTGTTAATAGTAACCCTTACTTTTAACAAATACTCGTACACTTACTTCATATTTTCTAAAATAAAGTTTATTTAAAAAGGCAAAAGATATATTCCCACGCAACACTCGGGGCAGTGAAAGACTAGTCCTGGATTTTGTTCCCAGAACTACACAATTAAAAAAAAATGTTATTATATGTGTATCAAAATATTTAATAACTTGCCACCAACCATAAAGACGTGGCCCTTACTGAAATTTCGAAGGAAATTGAAAATATGGCTTTTGGAAAAAATGATATACTCATGTCTGATACCTAAATGAGCGATAATTACAAAAGCACCTGATAATATTTTAGTGTATGTTTTGTTCTATATTAGAAATAAATTATCGGATTGAAAAATTTGACATTGCAATTATATATTTGACATTATGTCAATTGTTTATTGACATGAGCTTAGTAGTTTGTTATTAAATCAATCTGTTGTTATAATATGCAGGTAAGTTTAAAATTTTGCATGTCAGAAACAGACTGACGAAATATGTGATTCTCTTCAAATAACTTGTGGTGACATACGTACAGCCAGTTCCTCTGCGCATGAAACCGCGCAGGCGCGCGCAGTCTCTGACGGTTGCCATAGGTTGTTTGAAAAATTATATAAAAGATTTTGTCTACTAGCTATTACGTTATGTATGTGAGAAATATATTATTTTTACGGAGTTGTTGATTATTACTATTTATGCGGGGGATAGTCACATACCCCCACAAACTATAAACAGCCCATGTACCATATTTCTGCAATTAAAGTATCATTTCATTTCATTTCATAAGCATGCCGTCAAACACCTTAGAAAAAACCGTGGCTAATGATATAGGCCTATAGTGCGAAACATCGACGAGATTGCCAGTTTTATTTTTAACTATAGGCACTATTACGGTGCGCGGCATATCCCCAGGCAAATAGTTGTGCGCCATACATAGCGAATACAGAAGTGCCAACACTCTTGGCAGATGGGGTCCTCCGTACCGGAGATGCTCTATACTGAGACCATCCGGTGGATAGTCTGGAATTAATAAATTTGGCAATGTCTTGGGCTGCAAAATGAATCCCCGGATCCATGTCGGCCTCTGTACTGATCGTCATCCGAAACGGTCCCAATGGTGATTTTACATTTTTCAAAATCCTGTCAACTATGTGGGTCGCGTAACGTAGTGGCATGATAATCCATAGAATGAAACCACAACGAGCAGCGGTATATTTGTATCGACATAAAGAAATATAATTTCTAAAGTCATTGAAATAAGGATAAATAGAACTTGATCAGAAATAAAATCATAATCATCCTCCGCTGGTAGTCCGGTGGAGGGAATCGGTGCCCTGAACATAGAGGCAGTATGTCACTCCGTCCACCGCCCTCATAAGGCGCAAGTCCAGCCGCATATGGAACACTGTTCTCATGTTTATGAAGGGGCACACTCGAATCTCTAATCGGCTTGATCCCTTGGCAATACATAGAGATGTAGCTTCACTCTGCATTCTCTATCGTATATATCATGGAGAGTGCTCCGAGGAATTGTTCGGACATTAGTCGGACATTAGTCGGACATTAGTCGGACATTAGTTCGGTCGGTATTAACCGATCGCAAAATACCAACCCGTCTGGCGAGCGTGGTATAGTAGGCCAAAACCTCCTTTCTAAGGAGAGGCTTATGTCCAGCAGTGGACCATTAAAGGCTGTTGATGATGATGATGATGAACTTACCGCCATTGTTGCACACGGCAAAATTTTCATGCCCATCACTTGGATAATTGACCCTCCACCACTTTGCGCACAACCAAGTTATCGCCTGCAGTATTTCTGGACAGATACGACCTTCAAACCTTCAAGAAAAAAGAGTACTCCTACCTAAAAGGCCGGCAACGCGCTTAATACTGCACGCTGTCTCGGGCCCCAGTAGCCGGGGAATCAGGTTTAGTCTAGAAAGGAAATCCCAGGAACGCTGATGGACCTCGGGCCATTCACGACTTCCTGATGCTCCCCTCGTGCGTGGGGACGTGGCCTGCTTCTGCTAGGGTGACAGATGACCTCACCTGTCACCCCGGGCCGGCGCTTATGGATATTAATTCTTACTATTTTCTTAATTAATAACGTTATGTGTAAAAAACGGCACTAACTTACTTGAAGTAGGTATGATTGTAAACCAGGTGGTAAAGTCATTATGACAATTAAATAAAAATTAAATCACATCTACACATGAATAAGAATTTAAAAATATTAAAGTTCTTTTAAAGTATCACGGTTCTGACTCTAAATTTAAAACCGTACTTGTATAAGGTAACGGTGATGATGGAGTTAATTAAAGCGCACCGTGATCTTTGTAAGGTACAAGTGGAGGTAAGTAAGTGTATTTTAATTTGTTTAGTTATCGAATTCATTGACGGTGTTGGTCGGTAGGGGTCGGGCGCATTCATATTGCAGCTCAATCAGGCGCTGTATTTGAAACGTATACGACGCCGCTCTCCAGGTATTTTATTTATTGTAATTTTCAATTAATTAAAAGTTTTCGTTAGCTGTGAGTGTATTTAAAATACAAATTTAAACTTTAATGAAATTGTGTGGATTCTAACTGGATTAGTTGTAATTTTTTCAACTTTTGAACCGTGTGTGTTGTTGCTGGTTTCGGTACGTATATTATTCAATGCGGCTGTTTTACAATTTCCTTCAATGCAATCGATGAAAATTATACGTTCGTGTCAAGTGAAATGAAATAATTAGGTACACTACGTAACAGGAACACAATAAAGCTATAAATGATCTCGCTAAGTATATTTAAATATCTTAAAATTTAGTTTTTTTAAGAATATTTAGAAAAACAACTTTTTTTTTTAAAAGACAACTCCGGCACTACGAATTTATCCTGTGTCGGGGGGGACTTTGCAAACAAGCAACAAACGAAGGATACCTATACTCAGAAATTGTTTAATTTCTGTATTACACAAAGAGTTGTCCCAGAACAAAAATCGTAGTGGGGACTTTAGGTAAAACATACAATTTTATTATGGGACTAGCTAATCAAATGGGGAATAAATTTGCCCCGTTTTGCGGCATTTTTCAGTGATGCTCTGCTCCTATTTGTAGTAGCGTGGTGTTATATAGCCCTCCTTGATAAATGGACACAACAGACTACTATGTGGACTTTTCCTTGAAACGTTATGGTCGCCATAGAGTTTGGTTGCCCACACAAAGTATTGGTAGCGCTTGCCGATGTTGTAAAAAAAAATTTTCTCACATTCTTTCTCATTACTCCTAAAATTTGGATTACATTTAAAATATATCACTACAAAAGTTCCTCTGTGTGAATCGAAATGGTGTCCAACTAAAATATATTTTTTAAACACTCATAGGAAATGACTAGCCAGAGGTCATCAGTTCGATTCCCACCCAGGACAAATAATTGTGTGTAGCACGATCATTTGTTCTGTGGCTGGGTGTAATTTATGTATTTAGAAATATATAAGTAAATATATATTTATAACTGCTGATAACTGTTTTTTTGCCATAGTACAGATTATTATTATTGTAAACTCCAGGTTAGGTTATTTTGGATAAATTCTAGTTACGTTTACCATCGGGATTAACTATTACTTTTAACATTTATTTATTTAAGCATGTTTATGTACCAAGTACTTAATTATCCCGCCATTTTGTTTTGCATACCAAAACTTAAATGTTATTTAAACAACCAACACATTACTATGTATTTAAACATAGGTTTATTAAGTTTTGTACATTTTAAGTATTATTAACATATAACAATATTATTATTATTATATAAGTGCAAGATGGCTGGCAGGAGCTGAATGCAAGAAGCCCAAAATCGATCTAAGTGGCGTGCAATGGGAGAGGCCTATGTCCAGCAGTGGACTGCGATAGGCTGATGATGATGATGAAGTGCGTTTTAGTCGTTACGGGAACTACACAGCGCATTATACTTTTGCTTATTTGCCCTATGACTAGCGATTTCCGGGTGTTGTCATAGTTCAGTAAGTAATTTAAAGTTCTGTATTTGTTGAAAATGGGCGTAAAAGCAAAAAAATAAAACAGACATTTGTTTCTCTAATAATTCGGATTCAATTCTTTTATTTTCTTTTTCACAACAATAAACTGAGTAACTCACACATATAGTGTCATCGAAGTCACTTTTATAGTTTTACTATTTTAAAGAATCAGGTGGGGGTAGGAGGGTGAAAAATACTTTACGAAACATCCTCATACCTACCATATTTTTACAAAAAAAATTGCGACCACAAACACCATGACTAGTGTCATGTTTTTTATGTATATTATATAGATATGTATATTAGATTTAAATGACTAAATCCTTTTATCAAAATCATGTGTTGAGGAAAGGTCTATGTCCAGCAGTGGACTATTAAATGCTGTTGATGATGATGATGTGTTGATGGGCGTAAAATGGGCCCTCAATTTGTCTGAAGTCTGAACGTGGCCTAAGTTTAGCTGATTTGCGTATTATACACAATAACTATTTATCTACCTAAGAACATGCATGTGTATCCTTACTGAGTATATTGTATATTATGACTTGCCAAAATGAGAACAATTACAATTTGAAACGTATTTTTTCTTATAAACAACCTTTTGCCCGAGGCCCTTGGTTAAAAAAGTTCAACCCATCGGTGACACTTTCTCGACCTAAAGGTTTCCTTTGATGTACGTTTCTGATTAAAATAGAGTGGATCAGTCCTGTATGTCAAGTATATATGGATTATATTAATATAAATAAGTTACACCATTTAATATATCCTAGACTCGAGTGTCCCTAGAATCATTAGAATAGAGCTGATGATCTTGTAGCTGCAAAACAAACGATATCTTCTTCACCAATGAAACAAAAAACGAAATTAATATCGGTTCATCCGTGAAGAGCTATAACGCCACAGACAGACAGGTACTTTACATCTATGCACACGTTACATCCTTAACACCCCTCTTTTTATTCGTCATTTATAAACAAATCCATGCACTTTAAAATAAATGAAAATCCTTAGAACCTAATTACAAAACATAGATTATAGTTACAATACATAAAGCCTCTTCAGACAATGTAAATTTAATAGTTTCAACCTAGTTCTCTTGTTAGTCTAAGTTTTGTAATAATGTGGTTTAGAGTTCGACATCGTTTCATCATCAACTTATGAATTCAAGAATGATTAATTTTGTACATTCCAGAATTCCATTATTCCGGAACTATACTAGTTATTGGGTATTCCGTGTATGTAAACAGATACCTCCTTCTTCTCAGTGACATTGAGTTTTTTTGTGCGATTGTAGTTACACTTTAAAAATACCGGCCCTTTACTAATTAAAAAAAGAATGTCCTTTAAAATTTATCGGTGACATTTTGATAAATCACCTTTTTTTTAAATCTTTTGGACAAAACCCGCTCAATGTATTTAAATTGATCCTTATCTCATAGCACTACATATTGGTTCTAAATTTGAATTTTAATACCTAGTATAAGTTAATTTTATAGTTTTGTTGTCATCATAAGTTTTTATTTTAATTTTAATGTGGCTTAAAATTTAATCCTTCACTTAGGTGGCAGATTTTATCCACACTCCATGCTTACATTATAAATGTGAGTTTGTTTGTTACGCTTTCATGCTTAAGCGACTTAACCGATTTTAAAAATTCTTTCACCAATAGAAAAATACATTATCAGCGAGTAACAAATGCTACTTTTCAACGCGATAACCAGGCAGGCGGAGCCGTGGATAAACGCTAGTAATAAACACTTTTAACAAAAAGTATTTACAAAGATTGCATCTAATATAGTTTGACCTTCTGAAGATAACAAATTAAATATAATTTGTTGTATTAGTAACGATAATTTGACATCGACTTTACACAATAATTAACAATAAATATACATTGAATTTACGGTACGTTCTAAGTTTGTCCTTTTCCGGGACTCAATCTATCTCTAAACCATTTCATCTAAATCGGTTCTGCCGTTTAAGCCTGAATAGGTCACAGACAGACAGGCAGACTTTCGCATTTATAATAATAGTATCGATGTAGTTTGAAATCAAATATATATGAAAAAATTGGTTTGTGAAGTCTTTATTAATAAAACTAATAGTTATAAATAGTTTTTTAAAATTAAATTAAAGTTTTTTTTTTAATACAATTCCCGCGCTAGGAATCATCTAGGTGTCACGTATTAACGAACACACATCAAACGGACACAAAGAACACCCGGACTAGGAACAAGAATTTGTTGACCACACAAAGTGTTGTCCCAGGTGGGGATCGAACCCACAACACGCAGGAAGCGGCGGGTGACCGATTATACCACTACGCCATCCGTGGAGTCAAATCCTTAATCAGTCCTCAAATTCGGACCGGTTCTATGAATATTTATGCATGATCAATTGATAATAAACGAAAGAAGGAATCGATTCAGCACCTCTCCTTTTTCATTGTTGTTTTAAAGAAAAGAGAAAACAATATTTACTTTTTAACATCAATGTGAAAACGTTTTACTATGAAAGACCATAAATTATTTCATCTATACAAATAATTAAAAATGAAGTGTCTGTTTGTAATATCAAAATAATAGGTTTTTCATGCTCACACAGTTATTTGCACGATACCTATGTCTGCCTAAAAACCAGTTTAAATATGTTTTTGTCTGTCTTTTTGTGCCGGGTAATCTATAAACTGCCAAATTTTAATAAGATTTTAATACCACGTAGCTGCCTATATAGGGAATAACTTAGGCTGTTTTTCCTCTCAGAAAAACCCTATAAAATTTTGCCCACTCCGGGAATGGAACCCGGGGAGGCCTCATGGACTGCAGTTGTGTACCATACTACACCACTCAGGCAGCGCTTTTCAGATTCGACGAAGAAAAAACGAAGTCGCGGGTATCAGCTAGTAGTAAATATTAATTTAATTACACTTAAATAACTCCAAATGAGAGATTTTCTCATTTCAGTCTGAAATCATTAGTGGAATGGGTAAAATGTGAGTTTATCAGCCGTAGGTATATTCCCGAGTATTGGGCCCGAACTAAACTTTTTACCTACCGCAACCATAGAGAAAATATATAGATAGAGGAGAGAAGCGATCCACGATCCGGAGGCATTGGTAGAAAGAGAAAGAAGACGGCGTAGTGGTTTAAGCGGTCGCCACACCACTTACTACTACGCTGAGTGTTGTGAGTTCGATCCCCACATGGGACGACATTTTGTGTGATCCACAAATTGTTTTTCTGAGTCTGGTTCTTCTTTGTGTCCGTTTCATGTACATATGTTTGTACAGGATGTATTCCTAATGCGGCAGTTGTCTTTAAAAAAAACGTGCATGCGTCTCTCTCGCACCTCTTCGCTGATTTGTAGGTCCGAATTAGTCGCTATCTTCTTTCTTTTCTACATCACATCGCACTTCGCTCATCGCTCTTATACTTACAGACAATCCAATACCTTCTCCCCTCTATCT